TAAAATAGTTTCATAACATATATTTTTATTATCAGTCATAATAATATAATATCCGTACAAATACAGCGAAAAATGGCAAATTTTCAAAAAACAAAATTTTAATAAGGTCAATAATTTAATTTATATGCCAAAAAAAAATATATATATAAATATATTAATTTTTTTAAATTTATATAAACATTTTTAGGGGAATAAAATCCCATTAAATCCGCGCTATCAAGTTGCTCCTGCGGAAACATTTGTTTACAGCAGGCGAAACGGGATTGAAAATTGAAACTTGGCCAGGGAATTAGCAGCGGCATAAAGTTTTATTTGTTTGTTTTTGTTTTAGTTTTTGTTTTTCTTGCATTGTTTCGGCGATTGTTTTGTGTGTTTGTGTGTCTGTGGGGCTCTCTGGCTGTGCTCAAAAATTTGGTTGACAATATCAATGAAAAACAGAACCGAGCATTATAGCCGATCTTTAGCGACTGCATGATACTTGCTCATGCTAAAACAAAATTAGAAATTAAATTGTGGAAAATAGATGGGTTAACTTATCCGTAAAGAGGGTTTCGTAAGAGATCCACCTATAAAAATTAATAATTTGTGCTTCGCTAAAACTCTGCATCGACCAGTATCTAGATATCATTATTAATATTTTAATTTCTATAGATTGATAGCAGAGCTAGATAGCACAGTAAACTTCTTGGGTTTGCCACGCCTCTAGTTCCGTTTACATCATTCAATTTTGGTCAATTAACAGAGATTGTTATGTGACAATCGTAATTGTAAGATTGGAATGCTCCTATATAACCTTGAAATTTGTATATGGGCATGGTTCAATAGAGCCAGAATACAATCGATTATATTAATATATATAATATAATACCATCTGTGTTTTATTTAATAGTATTCTTTAAAATATAGATACGCTTTAATGTAGTGTTTTTCAAGCGAATAGTCTGAAAACCAATATACTCTTTTTGATTTCTGTCAACGGGTAGAGAAAATAATAAAAATGCCTGTATATACACAGATGTATCTGTGTTGCTAACAAGATACTTTTGGTGCCATTGACAGTCGCACACACACACACACATGCACGCATACATGCAGACATAGAAATTTGCAATCCCAACCATGCGTCTGTGTCTTTTTCAGTGCCAGCCATCTCTATCCGAATGTTGTTGCTGATTTCGCATGCTTTTTCAATTGTTCGAAAAGCTGTCAATACAAATCGGACAACGTGCTTTAGTTGTGGTGCTGTCAGAGGAAGGGGTGGGGGGGGGGTGGTGGGCTGGGTTGGCCGTCTCTGATCTGGCGCTTACAGCCTACTAATGCAGCTATAAAGCAAATAGTAACAACAACAACAACAACAGTAGAGAGCAACAATGCAATTGCTGCAGCATATTCGAACATATTTTTGGGTCCCATGCAAATATTTGCACATTCGAATTTTTGTTTACATTTTAGTGCAAATTTCGTAAATTACTTGCTTGACAGTCTGGCAACCCCTACGCGCACCACAGCCCCTCACCGTCCACCCCCGCCACCCACACCTGAGCAGCATATCATGCAGTCGCTATGTGTACTAATACATGTGTATCTACATAAATATATCTATATATTATTTTCCTTCGTTTTTATTTGTTTTACATTTAATTTAAGTAAATTTGTGACATGTGCCGCGCATTACGACAGTGGCGTCGCCAAAGGGGTTTCAGCCAATTACAAACTACAGACAGACTCATTATTTTATACGTATTGGCATTAAAATTTCAATCAATTTTTTCTATTTAGTAATGGTTTTGTTGCTTACGACCCCTTTCGATCTACGCCTCTGTGCACTGGGTCTATATTAATGTCTAGCAGTCGGCTTGCATTTATTAAAAACAAATAGGCAACACACATATCTGACACTCTCACACCCACAACTACACACGCACACATGCACACATGTTAACACTGCATGCAAATACATTTATGCATTTTGTGTTATTTTAATTTAAAATATCTGCCGATTTATTGTGAGAATTTTATAAAGCTTTTCGGTCGCAGCGCAGCTACAACAATCGAAAGACTCTATTTATACGCACACATGTATGTATACATGTGTGTATACACATATGCAAGCACATGTGTTGTGTGAGGGTGTATTTATGGATGCAACAGAAATGATGAAATGAATCGAAGCAAAGCTTAACTGAAAACTCTCTGAGTGTATGAGATTCCTATTGGAACATGGTAATAGTTACCCGAATTTCCAATTGGACTTTGTACTTTTGTTTACACGTCCATTTTTTTGGGGGTATGCTCTTCGCACAGTGTGTTCTATTAATATCCAATTTTAGTACTTTTTACAATTTTGTTATTTTTTTCCGACTATTTTTTTCGCTTTTTTTTGCTTATTTTGTTCCGTTTAATCGCTTAGCGCGTCCGTCAACTGCGCTTTGTTTATGCAAATAACTTTTAGACGTTCGCTGCCAACCAATTTAAATCTCGCTTAATAAAGTTCTATCCCCGCTGTCTGTTTTGCTCTGCTCCTAAAGTGACTGGCGAATGGCATGGAAATGTTTTGTGGAAATCTAAAAAAGAATAGATCAGGCAGCGCTTGGCTAAAGCGCGTATTGTTCAATAAAAGTATTCAATTCATTGCTTGGTGTTTCAATAAATTTAAATCATTTTCTTGTAGCTTTAATTGAAATTAATTGATCGGTTTTACCATCATGATAAACTTGTCCAAAATCCACATTTTATTCCCCCTTTTGGCGTATTTTAAAAGTGAACGCTGCGTGTGCACACTGTCGAAAGCTGGCTGCTGCAACAGTTTCTGCTGAACAGCTGATCGTTATAGATTTCTGTATATCATCTGTTAGCTAACATATACAGAAAATCAACAGGTTAGGTTATTGAAGTCGATATCGATAAGAAGTACGTTAACAAACTGTGCTGTGTATTTTCGACATTTTAGTTTTGGGGAATTTGCGTTTTGTTTAAAGGTGCTTTTCATATTTTAACAAGTTCCATTATATAAATTTATAATAAATAAAAATGTGTAGTTTAATTATGTTATATATTTTTCTTTTAACATAGGCGTTGTCTATCGCCTGCAAATCTAAACAGAATTTCCTGATGGCGGTTAAATTCAAACGCGATCACTAAACGGCGATTTTTCTTTTTACTGCGGCTTGACAAAGTGATAGCCATGAAACTAATTAACATTTTTATTTCTATTGAGTTGGATTGCAATTTTGAGAGTATTTTAACTCATTTTGGTAGTTTTCTTATTGATCGCTGTTAATAGCAGAGCAGAAAAGAAATATGATGTTATTGCCTCTGTTATGTTATTCATTCGTTGTCGTTCTCTCTTTGGCGGCGTGCGATCGGTAATTCTCTCATTTACTGTTAATGTTGTTGTACGTACACATGTTTGCGGACGGCGAAATAAATTCAAAATTTACGAGTTTTAACTTTTAGACTTCGTTTGTGCGAAAGCAGCGTGCCTTAGAGCAATAAATGCCATTAAAATTCGGTTTTTAAAAAAGAAATACCAACTGCGTACAAAATCAAATTGAAATATTTACATTGTGGCGACAAAACGATCGCAAAAGACGCGCAAGCAAATAAACAAATTTGCGGCCGTCATCTCGTCGTGTGTGTAAGTGTATGTATGTGTATGAATGGCTGTATTCGTTGCGTGTGATTCAATTGTTTAAGCAAACAGCAACGGCCACTGGGCAATTTTTTCAAAATCATTTAATTGCATTAACAACAACAACAGTAACCAACCAACAACAAAGTAAGCAGCAGCCCAAAAAAAAGAAGAAAAAAAAGTAAAGAAAAGGAAAAAATGCCGCCAAATGACGCGACGTCATAAAACAGCGATTCAATAGTAATAAATAAAATAATATAAATTACAAATATATACAGAATCGAGAAAATCAGTTAAATTTGCTTTTTATGTCAGTTTCGGTCACACAATTTCGTTTGATGTTTGATTAAAAAAATTTCGTGCATTTGTTCTCGTCTTGTCTTTTTCGTTTTGTTTTATTTTTAAGCTTTTTCGTGTATCCTTTTAACATACAATTCGCGCGTGTTGTGCGTTGTCCTCATCTGGTCACACTCGCCTATCTGTCCTCGCGTCGCTGTTAACGAAGAAGCAGAAGCAGAAGTAGCGAAGTGAACACGCGCGTAATTTTCGCACCCTCACCCCCCACCTCTTTCCCCCTTTTTGTGCTTGTGACATTTTTGGCATTCTTATTGCATTCCACGTGTGATTCGTGTTTTTGTCCGTCTCGTCTCGTATATCGTCTCGTAAGTGTTTTTTGCCGCCGCCAAAATTCAAATTGTTTGTAATGTTTTCATTGGTGTAATTTTCCCGCCTTTCGCTGTCCTTTGCCCTTTTCTAGTGATTCATTGTATAAATTTTCTACGTTTCATTTCAATGAACGTGCTGAAAAAGTTATTGTGAAAAAGACAACAAAAAAGAAAAACTAAGCTTCAAAAAATCAGTTATTAAATTTAACGGATTCGAAATCGACAACGAGAACATCCACAACATTTGACCCGTTGTTTTGTAAGTTTATTTAATTAATTTTGTTGCATTTTTATTTAAATTTCATAATTTTTATTACTTATAATACTAATACTAAGGTTTTTCTTATCACTGTTATCTCATCTAATTTTACCTACTTGTACATGCATCCAAAACTCTACCTAAACATAACTTCGTGTTTGTATATATGCACACAAATTCACACACACACATATATATATACGTACGCATTTACATACATTATACCTGTTGCCCTCTTGTCTGCCATCTCTGCCAGGTCCGTCTGTCTATCTCGCTTGCACATGCTAGCATATTTGAACATTCATTGTCAACGGTTATTTCATGATTGCGCTTTGTTGTCTTCATTTTAGCTCTTGCCTGCCTTGTTAGTTTGCTTTGTTGTTGCTGGTCGCGCAGTTGCGTTCACTTACATGCAAACAAATACTGGCGTCTGAATATATGTATGTACGTATGTTTGCGCATGTATTTTCTTATTGTACATTCCAACCACCATTTCATTTTGGCTTACCTCACTTCACCTTGGCTGAGCCCAGCTCAGCTCATCTTTAATCGTATTTCGGCTACACTATGCCCTTATTGGCAACGCCGCCTTTAACGTTGCTCTTGTCTGCTCTGTTTATGATTTTTGCCGCTGTGGCAGCGCTTCGCTGTCGTTTTCATTTGCTCAACTTCATGGCCAGCGCTTCCTTTTTGCATAATTTCGCTGATTCATCGCAACGTTCAAAATTTAACATTCTTTTTTTCACTTTTTGTTTTTGTTTTCATATTTTGGTTCGGTAGCAATCCGTTTGTGTTTCTCGGTCGCGTTTTTGGTTTTGACCAAAGGCAAACGACATATAAGTACACACAATAAATTGATAGTGTTGTTGGTGCTTTTCGTTCGTTGCGTTGACAGTCAGTTTAGCATTTGCGCTCAGGCGTAATGGAGCTTTTTGTCAGGGTCAGCTTTTACCGTCCTAACCTCAATATTTGAATTTGATCAATGAGTTTATAGACTTTTCTTAACATTAATTAAATGCAATATCTAATCTTTCACTCAAACACGTTAAAGTATTAAATATTAAAATAATCAATTTTAAAAATTTTCTTAAAATGTAATTTGTTTATGTATTTGTATATATACTTTGAAAATTTAATTTTTCTTTTGCACACACTAAACACTATATAGTTACATACTTAGTGCAACAAGAGCCGTTATTTTGTTTAAAGCTCATTTAACCCACCTATGCAGCTGTATTGTCCAGCTATAATAACAAGAACAACAAGAACAACAACAACAACAGTAACAACAACAACAACAACAGCAACAGAAAAATTAACTACTCAACGTCGCGTAATTTGCAAACAAAAGTCATTAAAATATCAAATTAGCGTCTGGCGTTGAGATTTAGTCAAGTTTCCCAATGATGGTGTTGACGCCAGTTGTGCCTCGATGACTGTAAACTGAACGACTGACTATGAAATAACTGAGAATGTCTGGAAATGTGTGCATGTATATATATGTATATGTGTGTGTGCGTCTATCTTTGTGTGTGTGTTTGGGTAGAAAAATGGAAAGTAAACCTAATGCGGCACCCGCATAAGCTCATTTGCTGATTATATTGTACGTATACATATGTATATAATTATATATTATATATTGTATATGCATATGTATATGTACATTAATATTTGTATAGAGTTAGCAGACCGTACGTCACATCTGCTTTAAAACTTTCCAAAACTAACATAGATTATGTATCGGCAAGCTTCTAAATACATATGGCACTTATTATCTCTATTCTTTATCTTAATATGGAATCCAAAAATAATATATAATTTATTTACCTAATACATTAGTTGCTATGATATCCATTCAGAAAAAGTGAATGTGTATATATTCGACCCCATTAGTAGATAAGTGTAGCAACTGGTAGGCGATTCTCTCTCTAGTATAATGACGTTCTTCAGATATCTTTCATGATGATACATGTTTTTATCATAACACAAAGCTTTTTTGTTAAATTAGTTGAAAATTACTATAATTTTTTATTGGAATTTTCAATTTTATTAAAATAATTGTATATTTTTTTGTATTGAAAGCGCATTAATTATTCGACAACCAAATAGTTATTTTTTTATCACTTAGCTTATCGGAAAAAAATTGCCGATAACAGAATTGACATGTGTGCACAGTGCGCTCTTCTTTATTGTCTAGGCAGGTGAGCAGAGAGGGAGACGTGGTCATTTTGTTCAATTTTTGCTGTTTTTGCAGTTAATTGAATCAAGCGGGAAGGAGAGAGATATAGAGAGAGACGGAGAAAATGACAGTGGCAGAGAGAGAGAGAGAGAGAGAGAGAGAGAGATACGGAGAGAAACACGTTTTACCTGGACTGACTCACACCGGAGCTGAATTGAGTTGAAGGAACCCATTGGCTACGGGTTGCAATAAGTATTTCAAGTAAAAAATAAATAAAAATATTAATACAAATAGCTACAACTGCAACAATAAGATAAACATTATCAACATTGCATTCAAATCATTTAAAAGCTAATTTATGTTTGCCTACAAACATTTTTGCTTACTTCGTAAAACTCGTAGTTGACTTATCGATTGAACGATCTCACTCAAAATGCGGTCACACATCTCTTTGCTCTATATTTTGGCACACTCATTAATACATATGCATAATGCGTTGATAAAGTTATCAGCTAGCCCATACCCTGTACATAACTGTTATGTAGGCTAACTATATGCTAAAGTCTCGCTAGTTTCGTCAGTTGCAAAATGTGTGCGAAGTTCTCAACGATTTTGAATATAATTTAAATGCCAGTAATACTTGTGTTTAAAGTTCTTTAATGGAATGAATACAAAAAATAAAAAATAAAATTACAAATTTATATAAACTCAATATCTCTCCAAAATGTACCCTTTGGCATTTTTACAGGGTATACAGATTGTATCTGTATCTGCACAAAAGTTCTGTGTGAAATACGCTTGCGCGACGGCAAGCGCTCGACTTACCCCTCTCTCAAGTTCTACACGAACGAACGCGTTTAATAAATTATCAAGTTGAATGCCCAGTTTCGAAATTTGACCTTGGGTACAAATTTCGGGTCTCGGGGCTCTACTCTATACGTATATACAGTAATTATGTCTCTGTGTGTGTGTGTGTGTGTATCTGTTTAAATATCTTGTGATTGTTGACTGCGCTTATGTTTTCTTAGCTTGTATGTAGTTTCTTTGAGCTTTGATGCGTTACGACTGTCGCCCGGCCACAGTCTGTTGCCCATGACTGGGAAGTGAAACTCTAGAGCAAGTGCGTAAGTCTTGGGCTTCGGTTAATTAGCGCATCCATACAAATTAACTAACGCACATGCGTAACTTATAGATAAATAGATGGAGATACAGATACATAAATTCAAGCAAATTTCGTTGCGTAGTGATTTTCGTTCATTTCGGAAATGATTAATGTGTTAGGTCGTTTCTTTTTTTTCTTCTATATGTATGTATAATTTTGTTTCTTTTTTTACTCTTTGGCTCTAATGCCTGAAATAAATTGCCCTTGCTCTTGGTAGGCAGCCAATTGCAAACCGGTTTTACCATCAAATTTAATGAGATTTGAGAAACGGGCAAAGAAACAGACCCACAAAGAGACGGAAAGAAATACATTATGCAATGTTTACATATATATTATAGAACATCACCTAAGCTTGTTACCAAGTTGCTAAACATCTAGAAAATATCACACTATTGCAAAGTCAGGCTTATATAATTTATTATTACATTTCCTTAATTTGAAATTGTGTAAATATTTTTCTTGGAACTATCTGCGGTTTTTAAAAGTCACTCAGGCGCCACCTTTTAAGGGTATGCGATACTTATATATGATACATACATGTATATTCTCGATCATTGCCTATTACTTGCTGTTTCTCCGTGTTGCCATATCTATGAGAACAGCGTTCTCAGAATCAATTAGAGTTCTATCTTATAGAATAAGCCCAATTTATTCAGGCTTTTTTCAAGTCATCGATTACTTTTACTATTAGTAATTGTATTATATAT